TGACTAAAAATGACTTCCGCGGGTGAGGGAATCCTTTCTAAATGAGGTGGGGGGAGGGTTAAGACATCCAATGATCTATTCTTGGTAAATTTTTAAGTCAACGAACGACCCGGGAATTAACTTAACAATGAGAGACAGTCATAAGCCAGAGGTATTCGTATGCCCTTCAGAGATAAACAATCATCCCTCCCCCCAATCTTCCTCAAGGCCGTAGTGTTGACGAGGGATACAGGAACACTGATAACAATCTACTGAGAAAAAAAAAAGTAATAAATAACAAAAAAATTTAACGTATTATTACACCTAATAATAACATACATACTTACACTAACCATCATCTCATAATAATTACACAACCACGATTTATAACACAATTACATTCGTTAAGTCATTCATAACTTATTTAGAAACAATTTATAAATACAGGTACAGTTAGATACAGATACACACACAGGAACAGGTTTAGTTAGACACACAGGTTAGGTACAGGTATAGTTACACACAGGTATAGTACAGGTAGAGGAATATCAATACTAATATATCCTTAACTGCACACAGAGAGAGAGAAGTACTCACCGGATCTTGCTACATGAACACCCAGTACCTACCTGTAGAAGACAATGTTCAAATTAATATACAAAACAATATATAATACTAACAGAGATGAACAGGCAGGTTAATATAAACAATGCATAGTTTCAAGGGGTCATATCAAGAGAGTCAAAGTACGATACTATTTTGGATTACCTGTCTGTGTGTGTGTGTGTGTGTGTGTGTGTGTGTGTGTGTGTGTGAAAACGTTTATAGTGTTTATTTATATTCAATGTGACGCCAAATTAAACAAGTAAAAAAAAAAAATTAGGTATGTTAGGAAAATGTATATTATATATGTATATTTCTCTCTCCAGTATACCTAAATATGTATACAAATTTAAGCTCAGGAGTTTAAATTGACATGGGACACTTACTCCATACACACAAACATTATAAAAAATCTAATTTGCACACACAAGATAAGCAAAAAAAAACAAAAGAGCATAGCGTAAAAGGATCTGAGTGTAAGTTTGTATAGTCAGGTGGGTGGAAGTGTGGTACGTGAGGGACACCACACAAGAGGACATAATTGCCCAGAGTAGAGTATTGGAGGAGAAATTTTACGAGGGGCAGCAATAAGCAAGAGATCTGAAGGTGATAAGGGGAATAGTGTGTGTGTGTGTGTGTGTGTGTGTGTGTGTGTGTGTGTGAACCATATCAATCTACCTATCTAATTTAGGTCTGTCTGTCTGTCTGCCTGTCTGTCTGCCTGTCTGTCTGTCAATATACAATAGTTAACAGGGGAAATATTGTATCACATACTATGAGGTCTCGATGCTCATACATACGAATACAGTATATATCGACTGAACAAGACCCCCCCCCACCAGCTGTGGATGGTGGTTGTGGTGGAAGTGGTTCTGGTGGTAGTGGTTGTGATGGTAGTAGTGATAGTACCGGTGGTGGTGGTATTGGTAGTAAAGACTGAGTCCTGTAAGTGTACCATTAAAAACGACGTCAACAAAAACTATTACTAGCGCCCGGCGTTCCACTTCATCCTACGTCCAACGAATGTTCGCCAGACCCTTCCTAGACTCTTCACCCGCCAGCCTGACTGATTCGTTTCTAGGTAACTCCGCCCGCCCGCCCACCAGAACACAACCCTTGCCACCCATCACAACACAATCCTTGCCACCCATCACAACACGACCCTTGTCACCCATCACCCATCACAGCACAACCCTTGCCGCCTATCACAACACAACTCTTGCCACCCATCACAACACAACCCTTGTCACCCATCACCCCCATCACAACACCCTTGCCACCCATCACAACACGACCCTTGCCACCCATCACAACACGACCCTTGTCACCCATCTGCACCCTTGTCACCCATCACTTGACCCTTACCCATCACAACACGACCCTTGCCACCCATCACAACACAACCCTTGCCACCCATCACAACACGACCCCTGCCACCCATCACAACACAACCCCTGCCACCCATCACAACACAACCCCTGCCACCCATCACAACACACACCCAGGCCCCATCGCTTACAAACATAACCAAACATTCACTTTATTTCCATCAACTGAAGAGTAACCCTCCTAACCTAACCTAATCTAACCTAACCTAATCTAATCTAACCTAACCTAACCTAACCTAACCTAACCTGACTTAATATTCCAAGAGATAGATGGATTTAATCAGAATGTTAGGTCATTGTGGTTTGACAAGATTAATCTAAGTAAAAATGGGAGCTGATTCCCCCATAAATCAGCCTTTACTTTATTCCAAAACAAGCTATAAAATTATTCTGTCTATCTTTGTTTGGTCTGGCAAGATAGATTGCTTGCTATACCAAAGTTACAGTTGGTCGTGCCGATGCCATACTCGCCTACCGTGTTCCCAAACCACTGGACCAGACAGGACGTAGCCTTATAAAATTGGGTGTGAGTTCACTGCATAGTGTAAAAAACAACCTATACTGTGTGATCCAGTACCCTTTAAGCATCATCAGAACTTCCAAATAGAGTCAAACAGATTTTGTCCAAATATGACCAAAATTTGGCCCCAAATTGTCAAATTAGCCATTTTGTCGTAGCTGGGATCAATAACATTGCTATTTTTGAAACCTTCGCCCTCTTTTACATAGAGAAGGCCTGTCAAACCACTCACCAAAAATTCTGATTTAAAGCCGTTTACCTCTTAGACTGTAACCTAAATCCCCTAGCAGCGTTGGGATGGCTGATCTTCATAAGAAATAAGCTGGGGTGTCAAATATTCAGGTGATCCCCTTTGTCTACCCAAGAGTATCGGAAGACCTGAATGCTAATCGATTAGTTAACCAGTGGAATTGGCGAGTTGTTTTATCTTCCGGGGTTATTCCTTGACACAGCTCATTAACTCAGGGTGTGGTTGTTGTGTTTGGTGACAGCTTCTACATCTTAAATAAATATTATTCCGCCTAGCTGGCCTTAATACCGTCCATCCTTGAAGGCGAGGCCCCACCATTGTTACATATGTGACACCCTTCATCTTGCCGCCCACCACACCGCCCACAATGCGATCTGCCACTCAGCACACAATTCACACGGCAACATTCCACCGCCCATCTTGACACACACACACACACACACACACACACACACACTGTGCCATCCAGCAACCACAAGACGCACACAGCTGGTGCGATACTGTGAGAGATAACATAACATGGTCTCACGTGCTACAATTACCATCAAGGTGCGCCTGTCTCTGTGTACACACGTACAGTTGGCTCCACTCCCGCGTTTGCCACTTCGCGTTGCCATCCCTCTCTCTCCCTGAGGTGTGAACCCCGAACTCTTGAAGTGTTAATTCCAGGCATTCGCTAATAAGCGGGAAGGTGAGGGGTAGGTGTTGGGGTAGGTGTCTTTATGTGTGGGGGGGGGGGTGAGACGGGGTATTGGGGGTGAAGACCGAAAGCGTATATCAGTTGGGAGAGTTGACAGTGCAGGATAACGCTTGACAATACCGACGGAGTTTCCTGTGGTGAGTGTAATCGTCTAGCGCTGACCAGATGAAAGTAATAAGTTACAATAGGACGAGAGGAGGATGGATTCATGTTCTATGTAAGGTGTTCCTTTGTAAAAGAGGACATTTATGACCAAATGGATTATGGATCTGTTTAAATCTATATCTTGTAGATGCAGCGAAGCTTTGTTTAACACCTCGACTACGAGATGGAACTTCCCCAGCTGAATAAAATCGTCTGGCGGGAGCCAGAATAAAATAGTAAAAAGACATCGTAGTGAAGGGATTAGTTATTAATCCAAACAACCAGCAACTGGGCACCACGTATTTATTGTAATACAACTTGATGTGAAGAAAAATAGTTCAGCTGGCAGCAGTCCGGTATAGAATCAGCAAACTACATAGTTCAGTTGTGCCAAACAGTGAAGTTAAATAGGTAAAAAAAATAAAAAATTAAGACATTATTATTATCATCACCAAATGTGTATTTATGGTGCAGCTATGACGAGAATACAAATACAGGTGATGTAACCAGGGTGTGGGAGTCTTAGCTACTCGTTCACATTATTAAGTGTTAGTTACAATAAATGTTCTTTTCTACACATTTTGAGTGTTTTAATTGTTGCACATTATACTACTTCTCTACTACACGGTGCCACAGATCGAGAGGCTGTTCTCCACCATGGCGTTTTCACAAGTCTGTATATGAATGTATATACGGACACGTGGACAGCATCTCTAGGTCACCTTTCATCAGATGGGAAGAATTAAAATAATGAGTTACTTTGGGAAAATCCAATATGTGAAGGACAAGCCAGCTGAGATACCACGTCCCAGCTGAGGCGCCCTGTAACCACTCCCAGCCCCACCCCCTTACCTCTCACACTACTCCCCTCTTTCTCATCTGTCCCTTCCCCTACTTCCCCTTACCTCTCACACTACTCCCCTCTTTCTCATCTGTCCCTTCCCCTACTTCACCGCCTTCCCCACGCCTCGACAGTCTTGATGATATAGCCAACACTAGCACAGGCAACTTGGTAGATATCGTAGAGAAGTGAGAGCAGTGTCACACCTCCCTGACCCCTAGTGGCACGCACTCACAACATCCGATAACTCGATACACAAGCAGGACGTACAACACAAGGAATGGGTGGATCCATACACTAGCAGGCTCTCCTCCACACATGGCCACAACATCCACTCTTGACACCCGGCAGTGCCACTTTCAACTTCCCCCAACAAGGCGCTCTAAGGCTCACTCACGATACATAACTTCTTCCTTTTCCTGACTTTTTTCCTAGGTGTACGTGTGATCGGCAGGAATGGGGGGAGGGGGGGTTGTGTGTACGCCTGTTTGTGTGAGTGTGTGTGTGTGTGTGTGTGTGTGTGTGTGGGACGTGGGTAGAGCCAGGTGTGTGCAGGAGGTGGCATGATAAGGTGGGAGTCAGTGACCACAATGAGCGGGGTACTGCAGGTGTCTCCCACAGCCTCAACACTCCCACGTGACGCAGGCGGATATAAGGCAGCAACTCTCCCTACCGCCCTCAGACGCCCGTCGCTGTGGTCGCCTTCTCACCATCGTTATAGAAAGGTGATGCTTGTTGCTGGCGTGGACTCCTGTGCGTTGTGTCTTTCCTCTGTAACTTAACTTTAAAATAACATCAAAGGCAATTTGAATCAAAACATGTTACTAACTTTAATGACTGGATATATTTTTATTCGACTGTAAAATAGTTTTTATACGGTGTGTGTGTGTGTGTGTGTGTAATATATGCATGCACACACACACACACACACACATAATATATATATATATATATATATATATATATATATATATATATATATATATATATATATATATATATATATATATATATATATATATATATATTATTATTAGTATTATTATTATTATTAAATTAAAATTTTCGTGTGTCAGAGTTGGTCAGTGGTCGCTGGAGTGATGTACAAGTTGGCGGTAGTGTTGGCGGTGTTGGCGGGGGCGTGGGCAGAGTGCCCCTCAGGCGGGGCCATCAGTCCCTGCACGTGCAAGGAGGTGATGCCCGGCCGCACCATGGAGTGTAGCGCCATCACCAGCTCCAGCCAGCTGCAGAAAGTCTTCTCGGTAAGGTGATCATCTTCCTAGACTCACATGTTGATAGTTGTATGGACGGTGGCTCCAGGTCCAGTGACAGGTGGCTACAAGTCCCGTGACAGGTGGCTCCAGGTCCAGTGAAAGGTGGCTCCAGGTCCAGTGAAAGGTGGCCACAGGTCACGTGACAGGTGGCTACAGGTTCCGTGAAAGGTGGCTCCAGGTCCAGTGACAGGTGGCTACAGGTTCCGTGAAAGGTGGCTCCAGGTCCAGTGACAGGTGGCTACAGGTCACGTGACAGGTGGCTACAGGTCACGTGACAGGTGGCTACAGGTCCAGTGACAGGTGGCTACAGGTCCAGTGAAAGGTGGCTACAGGTAACGTGACAGGTGGCTACAGGTCAGGTGACAAGGTGGACTACAGGTCCGTGACACGGTGACAGGTGGCTCTCCAGGTCCAGTGACAGGTGGGTACAGGTCACGTGACAGGTGGCTACAGGTCACGTGACAGGTGGCTACAGGTCCAGTGACAGGTGGCTACAGGTCCAGTGAAAGGTGGCTACAGGTAACGTGACAGGTGGCTACAGGTCAGGAGACAGGTGACTACAGGTCACGTGACAGGTGGCTACAGGTAACGTGACAGGTGGCTCCAGGTCCAGTGAACGGTGGTTACAGGTCACGTGACAGGTGGCTACAGGTCACGTGACAGGTGGCTACAGGTCCCGTGACAGATAGCTACAGGTCCCGTGACAGATAGCTACAGGACCCGTGACAGATAGCTACAAGTCCCGTGACAGATGGCTACAGGTCACGTTACAAGTGGCTACATGTCACGTGACAGGTGGCTAAAGGTTACGTGACAGGTGGCTACAGGTGGCGGCATTATTCTTTATGAGCAATACCAGTCATTGCAGCTTAAATCCTTGGTCAACAGTAACTTCCAATAATCTTCATCATCTACTTTTTTCTTGTTCTTAGTTAAAAGTCACGTAAGATCCATCAACGCCCACCACCACCCACTAGATGATCACTAACGGCATAAATAATTAATTGAGGCCATTATTATATCGCTAAATTCACTGTATTATACACATTACCAAGTTCTGTGGTCATAACAGATCTTTTAAACTACTATCAACATCCACTACAAGTTCACTATAGTTGTATGTTTTGTTTTATTTTCCAGACCGATATGCCCAGTCCGGACTTCCAGTTCTTCCAGATTGTAAAGTTAAGCGGACGGTGCAGCCTGGAGAAGATCCCGGCCAATGTCTTCGGTACCACCACCTTCCTGTACGTTACCTTCGGCCAGACTGATGTGGTCACTGTCGACCCTAAAGCGTGGGAAGGTGAGGAGCTGGTACTGCCACCTACTACCTCACACCAGTATTGCCACCTACTACCTCACACCAGTACTGTCACCTACTACCTCACACCAGTACTGTCACCTACTACCTCACACCAGTACTGTCACCTACTACCTCACACCAGTACTGCCACCTACTACCTCACACCAGTACTGTCACCTACTACCTCACACCAGTACTGCCACCTACTACCTCACACCAGTACTGTCACCTACTACCTCACACCAGTACTGTCACCTACTACCTCACACCAGTACTGCCACCTACTACCTCACACCAGTACTGTCGCCTACTACCTCACACCAGTACTGCCACCTACTACCTCACACCAGTACTGTCACCTACTACCTCACACCAGTACTACCACCTACTACCTCACACCAGTACTGCCACCTACTACCTCACACCAGTACTACCAGACAATAAACAAACCACTACTTGTGTCTAAACAGTGAACAAGTCTCCTGTTCATCAGAGACGTTGAACAGTGTTGTAACAGCTTCACTGAACTTCATTAAAATTAACTGATTTTCTACTCACGACTTAAAGACAATGGTATATAACCATTTAATTGTATTTACCTTATGACCATCTACTCACAGGCCAATCGACTTCTGAGCTCAGGTCATCGTTTAAAGATCATTCCTTAACTCTGTCTGGGAGAGTTTCATCATAATTACTTTACTCTTCCCTTGTCTGACTAAATTCATACCCAGAGCATCACTTCCTCCCTCGTCTCTACTCTTACATATTCTAGTTCCTCTAATCACCCACTGTTATCATTCTCTCCTCGTCTAATCTACTTCCTCCCTCACACAGGTAATGAGGACACTATGTTGGAGCTGACATTCGCCGACGCCAACAAGATGACGTCATACCCCTTCGAGTCCCTGGGCGACATGCATGCCCTCTACAAGTTCTTCCTCTCCAACACCCAGATCGACACTATCACCCACTTTGGCCCTGCCCCCAACCTCACGATGGTAAGTGTCATTTGAGCTTCTTCATCTCAGAAAATTCCCTGTTTACATGTGCAGACGACACATCCTACATGTTTACACCTCAAAGAATCATCTACATGTCTGACACGTGAAGATCTTCCCCTAAAATATTTACATCAAATGATACCAGGTACAGTACACGTACCGAGGCCACCTCCTCCACCCTCTACACTGCTTATACCGCCGACTTCGTCTAGTACATCATAAATACATTAACTTCCGTCTTTAGAAGAATTTACACTTAGTATGTGACTACTTCAACCATGTATCATTAGAAATGGTGCAGTTGCTTTCAATTACATAAAAATAACATCACTTTCACATTTCGTAAATGTGTTTCCAAAAATATCTCCTCCTCCTCCTCCTCCTCAACCTGATGTGCCTTCTCAACTTATCTCATAATTTGACAATTCCATCACCACACCCCGAGTTACCTATCTAGGACCCCAGTATTCCTCTCCCCGTCTACCTGGTCCACCTTTGACTCATTTAGGGTGTTTGTACACAGGTGAGCGTCACAGGTAGCCAGGTCACCACCATCGAGTCCGGCGCATTCGAGGATCTGGGTCGCCTCACCCGCCTCGACCTCCACGACAACCCCCTCACCTCCATCGAGGACGGCTGGTTCTCCTCCTCCACCTCTGAGTAAGCCACACCATTCATTATGTGTCTGTCACTATGTTTTTTTTTAGTGCTGTTCCAAAGTTCATCGTGTTTTTAACCCCCAACTTTTATTTAGTAAAATTTAAAAAAAATTACAACAATTCTTACTTAAACTAATTACTAGAGATAATACAAGTGAACACAATTTAATATCATATAACTGTGTCAGTCTGATGTCATATACAAGAACACTTTATTGACGTCTTGACAATCCACACCAAAGAAACTGAAAGGTATTCGTCACCAACATGACCAAGGCTTCCCTCACCTTCTTGCCCGATCCTTGATCATTATACAATAACATTCACAGTATAACGTAATAAGTATAACGTTCAGACAGACATTTTATAATTTTATTTCTTGTTCGATCTGCTGCGGCAAATTCCTTAACCATGTAATATTAGATCACTAGTAATTTTTGTCTTGTGCGTGTGGCCTCCGCTGCCTCCTTCGCACTGTGTCCTGCAGGAAGGTCAGATGGACCCCAGTTCTAACTAACCTACTTAACCATAAGTCTGTGAATTTATTAGCAATGAAACCCTTAAGAAATGAGGCCCACTGAGATTGGATTCAAGGCCGAAGGTTAGGTTATGTTGTTATGTTATGTTAATTGTTATGTAAAATATTATGTTAAATGTTATATGTTATGTTATATGTTATGATATATGTTATGTTATGTTATATGTGGTAGGTTAGGTTAGGAGGGGCTGCTAGCACTACCGGTAGTGTACAACAGATCCAGTCCTGTGGTCTTTCTTCTTTCCCACAACACGTATACTATATGCATTTTAAACCAATTGTAAACACGTATGACAATATTACTTAATATCTTTCTATCTATCTATCATATCACTTCATCCTCACCACCTCCATCACCACCACGACCCACCTCCATCACCACCACCACCACGACCCATCTCCAGCACCACCACCACCACGACCCACCTCCATCTCCACCACCACCACGACCCATCTCCAGCAACAGGACGATTCTTGTCTAGTCTCTCACTGTCCTCATCACTGACCCGTTCCCTCTTTATTTCTGTTATTGTGACGCCTATAGGACATTCAGTCTCCTTCAAATAAATATTCTTCCCTCTATTAATCTTTCTCTTGGCTCCCCTTATTATATTTCTCTCAACACCATAAACATGCTTGTGTTCACTTCCAATTCCTTCCTTCCCCTAAGGATATCATCCCATCCTTTTTCCTCCAGTGGGTATCCTACCCCCTCCCCCCCCCCTTCTCTTCTCTCCGGGTTACCTTCCCAGACAGGGTTGGTGGCGTGGGTGGTGGCGTGGGTGGTGTTGGAGAGAAGGTCAGCAGGTGTGCCCGGGCCTACCAATTACCTGTGTGGGCAAGTGCTGCTTACCTTAGTGTGTACCTGGTGGTGGCTGCCTGGCACAGTCCCGTTGTGGTTATAATGACAACGTTATGCCGCCACCACCACCCACTATAAAACACCTTGAATTACCGGATCTCTTTTTTTTAGTGAACAATTAGAGAAAAAAAGGAAATAACAGAATCGTGGGATTATTTTTATTATTGTATGACCTTTGGGGGTGATGGAGGAGGGTCGGTGTGTCGTGCCAGCACCCTGCAACACGGGATAAAACTCTCCTAACAAAAGGTTCTCACTGTCTCCCTCACTGACAGGGGAAAAAGAAAAATATCTACCCCAGAGTTAACACAAGTTCTTACAATTACACTGAATAAAATCTACAGACGACAAACGCAAGTAAAATGAAAATATTAAATAAATACTAAACGCTAATGTATGTATCAAATTATCGTAAATATATATACTTGCATGAAAAGGAAAGACATTTAAATTTATAAGATATTCGTTTTATTGGTGGTTTTCAGCGAGACGATCCCCAGCTTGAGGTGAGAGTTGACGTCATGAATATATATACTTGCATGAAAAGGAAAGACATTTAAATTTATAAGATATTCGTTTTATTGGTGGTTTTTAGCGAGACGATCCCCAGCTTGAGGTGAGAGTTGACGTCATGATAATATTTACATTGAAGGAATCGAGAAAAATCTTACTAACTAAATGGATAAATTGGAGGATTTATAAAGCCACTGTCTCATGCTCCTCCGCTTCATACTCTTCTGCCTTCTGTCTCCATCTTCCACTTCCTCATCCTCTTCCTCCTCCCTATCGCCATTTCATTCCCTTCTTCATTTTATCTCTTTACCTACTCACTCTTCTTTACCTCTTCCTTCATCTACCCATTCCCCTCCTATTCATCACCCAATTCTTCCTTCCTACTGTTCACTATTGCATACTCCTCTCCCTCCTGCATCTTGTTCCCCTTAATCATCCCCTACCCATTCACCTACCTCCTCCTCTCACCTATTCACCTCCCCTCCATCCCTCGCCTACCCATTCTTCTCCCCCCTCACCCTTCACCTACCCATTCTTCCCCCCTCACCCTTCACCTACCCATTTCTCCCCCCTCTTCCACCACAAAAACTACTTACATTTTTTACCCAAACATTTCCACACGTGACGTCATTACCTCCCTCACGTGAGAGAATCTGGATATTGAGGCACGGAGATGACCGACCTTCTCCTGCGGCCAATAGGGGGAGTTGGAAGAGAAAGAGGGGGAAGGAGGGGAAGAAAGATGGAGGAGAGGGGAAAGGGGAGAGGAATGGTGGGTAAGAGGAGGGAAAGAAGACAAAAAAAGAGGAAAGGAACCTCTCCCTCCATCCCACCCTACCCACAAAAGGCGTAGTTGTCCTGGGGAGGAAAAATATGACTTGTGTTTCACCGTTAACTTGGGGACCTTCAGTGTTACGTGAAAACTGGATTCTAAATTGACGACACACGGAAGAGAAGACCGAGGGGCGATCAGGTCTATCACTGTCATCACGGACGGACACATTCGTCTTTCGGTCGTCGTGGTGGTAAGGAGAAAACAGGTGTGGAGGGGCATCAATAGGCAGGAGACAGCTGGGGACGGGTTCAAGAGACAGAGGAGGAAAGCAAAGAGACGGGGTGGAGTATTGCCGAAGTGAACTGTACGTTTGTGTTCCTCGTGCTTACAGGTGATGGGCGTTACATTAATCTTCTACTCCTACAGGTCTTGGGACATATACCTGGACGGGTGTGACATCAGCGAGATCAGCCCAGGGGCGTTCTCCGGCACCCTCCCGTCCGGCGTCTTCCTCCAGAACAACAAATTCACCAGCATCCCTGAGGTGAGCTCCTGACCACACACACAGAGAGAGAGAGAGAGAGAGAGAGAGAGAGAGAGAGAGAGAGAGAGAGAGACTCACGAACACCCCTGCCAAAAATATTATTATCCCGCACTATTTCTTCACTGACAAGTTCAATACAAAACGTCACTAATATCACACCAGCAGCTGTTTCTTGTTGTATCAGGGGGGAAAAGGTCAAGGTTCCTGGTGGGTTATTCTCCCTGGCCTGAAGTATCACACCTTGTAATACTATTTATTTCACTTTGGTTATGGTGTCCCGTGGCCAACCAGCTAATGGGGCTGTTTAGTGGTCAATCACCTTAGTTTGTTAATAGGTGCAATACTTTCCCCTAGATAAGTTACAGAGGAAAGATCTTGACTCAATTACATATAAATTAAAGTTGATGAATGAATCTCCAAGCTCAGAGGCACACTTGCTAACATCCTGAAGACACACATACATACACACACACACACACACACTAACTGACAGACCCAAACACGTGTTTAGAGTTAACTGACAGGTAGGCAAGCAGAGTGGTACACAGACATGACAGATTTACAGGCATGACAGGGTTTTGCACACACACACACACACACACACACACACACACAGGCTGCAACTCTATTAATAAACCGTTTATTATTATTTATTATTATTATTATTATTACACACGCTTTTCATATTCAGTCTTCCTCATTTTCTTCCTTTCTTTTCCAATTACCACCTCTGCTTCTCCTTCTCCTCCCACCTCTCCTCCTATTCCTAGCTCTCCTCTTCCTCTTTCCTCCCTTCCCCCACCTACATATAAATCTCCAGTCTTCGTTATCTCCCTCTTCCTCCTCCGCATAAAGAAGAGGGAAGGGAACCCTACAGTGTGCTAACACCTCCAGTAGGGGTGAGCAGCAGGAGGGGTGGGCAGCAGGAGGTGGTGGGCAGCAGGAGGTGGTGGGCAACAGGAGGTGGTGGGCAGCAGGAGGTGTGTGGAGCAGGTGGGCAGCAGGAGGAGGTGGTGGGCAGCAGGAGGTGGTGGGCAGCAGGAGGTGGGCAGCAGCAGGAGGGGTGGTGCAAGCAGCAGGAGGTGAGCAGCAGCAAGAGGTGGGCAGCATGGGAGCAAGGTGGGCAGATTAGCAGGAGGTGGTGGGCAGCAGGTGGTGGTGGACAGCAGGAGGGGTGGGCAAGAGAGGAGGTACGCCAAAACTGCAATTAACACACACAACGTCGTCTTGACCTTACCCTGACCTCTCGCCATCCTCCCTATAAAACAAACTAACCTCCCTCCCTCCCTCCCTCCCTCGCACTGGAAATCCCTGGCATTTCAGATACCAGCAACAGCGTCGAGTTACCTCACTCCACCCACACAATAGTCACGAACATTTAACAGAGAGATATAAATGTATAATATATAAACACAAGTAATATTGCTGTTCTCACCTTTCCCATCTACAAGGAGACTTACTAAGATAGGATCAGGTTGCAAAAAAGGGCTGAATCAAGACGATTTACTCGACGAGACTTGTTACAAGGAGGGACTTACAGTTATTGCAACGAACGAGTTGAAAATTATTGCACAGAGAGGAATGGGACAATCACTAACAGCGGGGAGTGACTAAGTTGCAAGGATTGAGTCAAAACATTTTACTGAAACAAGGCAAAGACTCGGTACAAGGGGTGGAATAACTGGCTGGTGTTGCAGGGACCCAACCAACTTGTTGAAGACAGTTGCATGACACACACCGTCCACGCCCGAGTCTAAATCTAAAGACACTTAAAAAATAATAATAACTTTCCCCTGGGGGTATAGTCACTAGTCATATGTTTCACCATGTTAGTCTCGCCTGCCCCGACACGTACAGATTAAATGACTCTCTCTCGTAATATCATCATTTATCAGATACTACACTTCCTTTTAGATAATCTTGGCCATTCGTCTACACCTTCACAAACCAAACAAAAGTTAGACAATTTCTTCAACAAAGTTCAAAGTTCCTCCGCTTTCCACCCGCCGCGACATGGACTAAAAAAAGGTGTGTGTGTGTGTGTGTGTGTAATAATAATAATATTAACGGTTTATTGAAGTTCTGCAGCCCGAAGGCTGAAAATATACATTGACATAAATGACTTATTACATACATTGGTGTGTGTGTGTGTGTGTGTGTGTGTGTGTGTGTGTGTGTGTGTGTGTTTGTTTTAAAAGTTACCCTTGACCCTTCTACCCTTACCTCACCCCTTTCCTTCGTCTTGTTCCCTTTAAAAACACTTTTTCACTTACCCCCACCTCCGCCTACTCCTCTCTCCCCTCTTACTCCTTCTCTCCCACTCCCCTCCTACTCCCTCCTCCCCTCCTACCTCTCCCCCCTCCCCCTCCTCCATTGCAGTCCTTGGGTGAGACAACAATTACTCCCAACGAGCAAGACGTGCAGCACCTCGGGCGTGGGCGGGGAAAAAGGACACCACGCCCCCTCCCTCACGCACACCTCCTCGTTCACGCCCACATCACGCCTGCACTCGCTCACACAGGTATACACCTACGCCCACACGTTGACACTTGTACCTGTGTGTCTACATTTACACACACACACACACACACACACACACACGTTAAAGTTAACATTCATAAGAACATAAGAAAATAAGGAGTCTGCAATAGGCCGGTTGGTCTGTACATGGCAGCTCCTGTCGAGAGTTACTACCACTCTCTATCATCCATGAATCTATCTAGCCTCCCTTTGAAACTTTCCAGCGTTCCAGCACTTACTACAAAGTTGCTAAGCTTGTTCCACTCGTCCACCACCCTATTTGTAAACCAGTTCCTTCCTATCTCCCTCCTAAACCTTAACTTATCCAACTTGAATCCGTTGTTCCGAGTCCTATCCTGCTCGGATATTATAAGAACTTTATCTATATCACCTTTATTGATTTCTTTCACCCACTTGAATACTTCTATCATATCTCCCCGCACTCTTCGTCTTTCTAGGGAATGCAAGATTAGTTTCTTTAACCTATCCTGATATGGAAGGTTTCTAAGTCCCGGAATAATTTTCGTCATTCTTCGCTGCACCGACTCTAGTGAATTGATATCCATTCTATAACAAGGGCACCAGAACTGAACCGCATTATCGAGGTGCGGCCTGACTAGCGCAAGATACAGTTGCAATAAGACCTCTGCACTCTTATTACTTACACTTCTAGATATAAAACCCAACACTCTGTTTGCCTTATTTCGAACATTAACGCACTGTTTTCTAGGCCGTAGGTCCGGGCTTACAAGTACCCCTAGGTCTCTTTCACAAGTCGACTTCTCTAGGTTGATGTTGTTAAGGCTGTACACATTGACAGTATTTGTTCTTCCAATATTAAGTACGCTGCACTTGCTGGTGTTGAATTTCATTTGCCATTTTTCAGACCACCCCTGCAGTTTATTTAGATCCTCCTGTAATGCATTTGCATCCTGCCCTGAATTAATTTGCCGCCCTGGTGTCATCCGCATTCCCACTGCTATCTATCCCAGTATCGTTTATGTAGATTATGAACAAGAGTGGGCCTAGTACTGACCCCTGGGGAACCCCACTGGTTACACGGCCCCACTCAGATTTAACACCATCTACGCTGACCCTCTGCGTTCTATCGATGAGCCATGATTTTATCCAATTTAAAACTTTCCCCTCGATACCATGAGCCTTAATTTTTCTCAGAAGCCTCTGATGCGGTACTCTGTCAAATGCTTTGCTAAAGTCTAAGTAAATAACATCGTAATTTTCGTCATTATCTACTACCTCGAAGACTTTCCTAAAAAACGTTAGCAGATTTGTTAGACAAGATTTTCCCTTTGTAAACCCATGTTGAGAGTCGTAGATTAATTTGCTTTTCTCTAAATGCGATCGAGCTTTCATCTACTCCTACATGTATTCACCCTTACCTACATATATACATCCGCACCTACATGTATACACCCACGCCTACATATATACATCCGCACCTACATGTATACACCTTTACCTACATGTATACATCCGCACCTACATGTATACACCCACGCCTACATATATACATCCGCACCTACATGTATACACTTTTACCTACATGTATACATCCGCACCTACATGTATACACCCACACCTACATGTATATACTGTATATCAACACCTACAAGACTTAAGAAATTACATGTTATTTTTTTTACATTCCCAAATTCCTAGTACCGTGTAAGTAGTGCAAGGACGTGGCGAGCATTTAGCGATAAAGGTCGGACATCCGGAGTGAAAAAGAAGGAAACGTGCGAGACGAAACGAATAATGGAACACAATGGATAGACAGACTAGAAAAGAAGATGAAAAATAAAAGAAAAAATTGTAAAATCAAGACTGAGGCAAAAGGAAAAAGAGTGTAATAACTGATGAGGAAAATAATGTAACTGACACAATATTCGACACCAGAAAGAATACTAAGGAAAAATTTATGTCGAATAGAGTGAAGTAACAAGTCAACACCCCACTCACTAGTCACTACGTCTCGATGGAAGGCAAAATCTCTTTCTCTCACTATAAAAAACCCCCACTAATTAAGTCTCCTGTCGGACGTGCCCAGCCAGCCTCTTTCTCACGCCGAGGATCCAGAGACCGTCCCAACTGCCACAAGAACCTCATTGTACAGGAGAGAGAGAGAGAGAGAGGAAAAACACTGCGAGGTTGTTGAGTGACTCCCGCGGCGTCACAACACCCGCAGTAAATCTCGGGAACAAGAAGATAAAACCCCAGTGTAGATGATCCTCACCTCCGCCAGCTGGAGTGAAGGCCTCAGCATTATATGGCACCTGATCTCTCTCCTTTATAAGACGTCAGCATTATATGGCACCTGATCTCTCTCCCTTATAAGACGTTAGCATTATATGGCACCTGATCTGTCTCCCTTATAAGACGTCAGCATTATATGGCACCTGATCTGTCTCCCTTATAAGACGTCAGCATTATATGGCACCTGATCTCTCTCCCTTATAAGACGTTAGCATTATATGGCACCTGATCTCTCTCCTTTATAAGACGTCAGCATTATATGGCACCTGATCTCTCTCCCTTATAAGACGTTAGCATTATATGGCACCTGATCTGTCTCCCTTATAAGACGTCAGCATTATATGGCACCTGATCTGTCTCCCTTATAAGACGTCAGCATTATATGGCACCTGATCTCTCTCCCTTATAAGACGTTAGCATTATATGGCACCTGATCTCTCTCCCTTATAAGACGTCAGCATTATATGGCACCTGATCTCTCTCCCTTATAAGACGTCAGCATTATATGGCACCTGATCTCTCTCCCTTACAAGACGTCAGCATTATATGGCATCTGATCCCTTCCACTTGTAGCTCCTAGTAAGAGATAATGATCCCTAGTATCCCAGGCCATAAACACGTGACCCCTTGTTCGTAAATCTACTGGGTATGGTTGATCAAAAAACAATTGACGTCGTTGACGCTATAAGGTACAAGGCGCTGTGAGGTGATGTACTTAATCATTATATTAGACCAGTGTTGCAGAAGATGATGTTGTGGGTTAATTGATGGTTAAAGTACAAGACAACGCTGATTACTAGTTCACAGTAACACACCCTTGAGCCCGGCATCACGGAGACAATATTGAAGCAGATAGTAGCCGCCATGTTTTTTTTTTTTTTCATGGTTTATTTAATTTAGCTGAACATTTTTTCGGGGAGGGGGAGGGTAGCCTGACAAATCAAAACTCAAGTGAAATTCTAATGAGTTAACGTTGAAAAAGTGCCTTTCATTTAGGCTTAAAAAAAGTGAACAATGTAGCGGCCAAATATCAAATGTTAAACATACTGTACACCAGCGACTGGTAGACCATTGTAATCCCCGATCAAGTCTAAAGGACACCACTTAAATAAATCCTAAAGAAGGAGTTGCCTCTGAAACAATACTGGCTACCACAAAACCCAGCTGAAGTGGATGATTACCTCGTACCACCTGCCTGCACCACCTGGCCAGCCAGCCTTCTACAAGACATATATGGTAACCGTTATTAGCAAGCCAACGGTAGTATCACGATACAGTAAGCTAAGGGTTTGTCTGCATGACTGGTGGCTGAGAGAGCGCATCCCCTGCACCACGCATTATTCTGTACAGCACCAACTATATTAGTAACTCTTCGACCTGGTTAGGTTAAATGAACACACACGTTCTTAAATCATTCAGCTTAAATTCCTAATACACTCAGGGTTTTTAATTTGGCCACATCTGCTATAAAATCACTGATCTGGTAAATTACCAAACTATGAGCTACAATATATTTTTCCAGCAGCTGCTAGTCATATACTGTCGTCACCTGACTGTCGCATCAACACACAACGAGAACAAAGCTATTTAGTCCAAAACACGAGCTCTAAGGCAGAAGGAAGCAAACATACGGCTGCCGTGGCTTCCATATGTGTGTGTATTAGGTCGAGAGTAACCCGAGTTAACATCACACACAGGTAAATTACGCAGTGCTGCTTACTACCGAGAGAGACGCCAGATTGCTACACATCGGTTGTGACACCCGGTGTGTACTTGGAGACTCAACAACAAGGATGTTTTAGTAAGCCATAGTTGTACGGCGGCGGGGAAACTTGAGCAAAAGCCGCAGGAACCTTAACAAAGACGTGCAACCATTGTGTACAACGTGCTGGCGATGACTCCTGGTAAAAGCTCAAGATCTTCGTCCCGCGGCAGACACACAGCAACATTTCCTTGCCTACACCAACGTCATGAACACGACAACATGATTAAACCGACAAAGAAAAAAATGATGCAGGTATTTACAGAAGCCACGAACAGTTGAATGTTCGTTATATTCGATACTCGACGTAGAACAAAGAAACTCATCAGGTAGTTTTTATTTGTGTGTTAAAACTCCGTCTTCTGAACCATCAAGGTTAACCCGCGAAAGATTCTTCACTCGGTGACCATTAAAGAATCTTCATGCTGAAGAAGGGCAGTTTTTGCTGCCATGAATGAGTCAAGATTTCTACATATACCGCCAAGTTCTCACCGCTGCCAAATTTTCTAGTTGCTTCCGTTTCCTTGTTTCCGCGGCCTTATTCTTTCTTTTGTTTTGCCTGGTGCAGGGCCACGCCCCCTGCCCCCTGACACACGCGCCCTCTCACGCCGCCAGCGCCAACCTCCTCCATGTTAAGAAAAAAAAACTGACTCCCTTTTGCTTCCTGGAATTAGGAAGCTGAACACCTGCCACAGGTGCCCAGAACTGTGATTTATATATTGTTGGTTTATGTCGTCTAAGAAAATAATCTAAAAAGACAGAGGAGATGAAGATGACTGCGTTAAAAAAATAACAATATAATTGGCACAATTTTGCCATTAGAGGATCAGATGACTCAGTGAACGTTAATTTGGCCAATGAAGGTGTTCACGCTGTAACGAGTATGCTCAAGGCTGCTTAGATACAAATAACACATTATGACCTTCCTCGAGCTTCACCATTCCTTATAGAAGACGTAAAGCATAACTGGGAAGTGTATTTATTATTCTACCCACTACACACCCACCCCCTCACCCTTCACCCTAAAACACCCGCTTCTCTCTTACTCTAGAACACACACCCTTGCCCTGTTAACGTTACTACGCATCGTAATGATCACATGACCTACAAAGAGTTTTAAGACGCCTCCCTCCTCTTGCAGGCGACCTTCCGCCCACTGGTGGAGAACATGGAGAAGCGGGCTGAGGCCGGAGAGCTGTCCCACTACGTCGACTTGGAAGGCAACCCTCTGGTGTGTGACTGTGACATCAAGTGGATCGCCACCTCGGAGACCCTCCTGCCCTTCGTCAGGAACGCCGTCTGCACCAACGGCGACGTAGATGGCACCAACATCGCTGACCTCCCAGCAGACTTCTTCGCCAGCTGCTAGGTCAAGATGGCGCCAGTATCACAGCTGACTTCCCTCAGCTTGATCAACATGACCTCACACTTCAGTGAAGGGCATTTACGTTCGGCCCATCTCCACCTAACTCACTGATCACTGGCTGGGAGCGCTGCACTGTGTTATACATGAAGCCACCTCAGTACTCTTCACTTATAACTCATTTTTTCCTTTCAAACACACTACAAAATTTAATTGTCTCAAAAACTATGTTAAAGTCGTAAACACTAAACATACACCAAGGCCAGTACCTTACACACCTCTGGCTGATCTACCACGACTATAGGACCTTCCAGACTACCTTGGAGCGAATAAATCCTTCTATAACACCGTATTCGTGTACCTTTTAATATATACCACATACCTTTTAAACTGATCACATAACAAAAAACATCGTGGAAAACATTGAACCATTCTATTAAGTGTAATGTTTTTAAAAGAAAATTACAGTTGGAATTACCTTTTAGTGGAGCTGTGTCATTGTGGTCATTATTTGCACCAAGTGACGTGTCGTGTTTATCGTCAAGGTCGCTCAACTCAACACTTGGCAGAGGAAACCGAAAATACTGCAGCATCACCATATTTTATGTCGCTAATGTATTTCCATAAGAAGATGGTGTGTATGTTTCCCTGATATATGGTGTTTAGGTAGAGTGTATGGTGTGGCTGGTTATAGGTGCTTAAAGGTTGTTATTGTTGTTGTTGTTGTTCAGGCACGGACTTATACTATAATCACTATTACCATCACCACCAACACCATCACCAGGTACCAACACAATCATCATAAATATCCCTATCACCACCACCACCATCATCACAACCACCATCATCATTACCATTACAGACACCACCACCACCAATATCACCACCACAACCACCACTACCATCATCTCCACCAACAACACCACCATCATCTCCACCAACAACACCACCACCATCCTAACACACTGGAATCATTCTTCTCTCCACGGTGGTACAAGTCACAGCTTTAGGTCATGTTTCACCGTAAGTCTGGCTCGACCTACTGACGGCGACGTTGACGCCTTGTGACTTTGGAAGTGGACAAAACAGACTACAAAAATGTTAAAAGAAAGGAACGGGATGAGCAACGCCGTATGACCACGACAAGGACACCATCACCACAACTACCACCACTACCACCTCCACCATGGCCACAACTACCACAATCACCACCGCCGTCACCACAATTACTACCATACACCCTACCACCTACATACCAGCCCTGCCACACCTCCCATCACGTGCAATAAGCTAACATGATGACACACCTGAAACTATTTTACCAGGTGTTCTATATGGCATTGAAATATAAATAAGAGAAGTATTGCATCTATTTTAATGAACTGCTACGGACTCCCCAAGCACCGCCAGGCTCTGAGGTGAGAGAGACAGACAAGAGGTCGTGTTTAGGTTACAAAAAGACTAATATTAAATCATGGATTCTGGTAACTGTGTCTTATATAAAGCAAGAAAATGAATCTCTGGGACTATTGGTTGAGTAAATGAGTGTATGAAATATGGGTGACTAGTTATAAATAAATACCTTTTTAAACCCACTGAGAAAAGAATGAGTGAGAGGATGGATGTATGTGTCTTTTAGGCCGACACATATCTTGAAAAAAAAAGTATTATTAGATTCCAAAGTTTTTCTACACAAATGTTTAAAACTTTTTACTGTATATAGGTCAGCTGCACCTCCAAGCTACTGTAGTAACAGATTAGAAGTGACGGGATGAAGACGTCCTTGTCATACCACCACGTATAGAGTCCAGCCCACACGCCATACCGGATTCTTATCGACAGTCACCGTGTGCAAGAACATAACCTTCAGGTACCTGGAATGTCCCAATTAAAGAGGAAAAATCCAGCCGTGACGCTTCTGCTTAGGGGACGTTCTTGGACGGAGGAACCAAACAACCACCTTTGGTGTTAATCATAAACTCTAAACACTGATAATATAAACGATATCACAAAAAATACTAATAAAAGTGTTTAGTAATGAGGATAAGATGAAAGTTGACGAAAATAAACGAAATCGTGTTGTTACAGGTAAACTCTCTCAAGATGGGCACTTTGAGATGATGGACATATGTAATGGCGTGTAGGTGAACGAAACTATATCACTAGGGGGTGGGGGGGATTGGTCTATACTTGGTGTTAGTGAGTTCCAGTGAGGGAGGACGTCCTCTGATGGTTACCCTACACAAATTCCATACACATATTACCCTATATAAATACCCCTACACATAGTAACCCTACATAAATATCCATATACAAATAACCTGCACAAATATCCCTACAGAAACTCCCAAAAATTTCCTAAAAATAGAGATAAAAAAAAATATATTACTATCCAACAAATCGAGAAAAGCATAATGTAAATATTTACGAAACCGTTATCACTAGAAGTTGTTTGTTGATTTTCTTTATTTTTGCTGTACTTATTGTTTTGATAATTTTAAGTATATTAAAAGAAACGAGAACTTTATATTATGATCTTAATTTTTTTTTTATTTACTCTATCCTGCTTCATAATTCTCCTCCCGGCGCCATTTTTGTTGTTTAACTCGCTGAATCCCACTTCAAGAGACTTTTCCCTAAATGATGATGAACGCTTCCACGAATTCCTCCTCGCCATTGCTGATGTATATAATCAACCTCAATATTAAGGTAAGTTCTTTAACACATAAATTAACACGATAATGCATAGAACCTAATAAAACCAGACCTAACATACCCAACCTATGGGTAAGTTAAGTTAGGTTCTATGTATTGTATCCATTCCTGTGTTTAATATCATGCTATTAGTGAGTAAAAAAAATAACCAAATAGCACATTTACTTCTGGCCATGACGGTTTGGTAAACCTTTACCGAAAATATTGTTGGTTTATAATGACGTAAGAGACTTTTATTGACGTGCACAGGTAACCCGTCTCAGTCACCTGCCAGCATGCGTGGAGAGACAGCTCATCCATGTCTCCACCACCACCACGGAGAGTAATAGTCTCTCAGTGAGGGGTTAATGTCTCTCAGTGAGGGGTTAATGTCTCTCAGTGAGGGGGGTTAAATTCTCCCATTGAGGGTTAAAGTGTCTCCGTGAGAGACTAATATTTCACAGTGAGTTATTCAAGTCTCTCAGTGAGGAGTTAAAGTCTCTCAGTGAGGAGTTAAAGTCTCTCAGTGAGGGAATAAAGTCTCTCAGTGAGGGAATATAGTCTGTGAGTGAAAATAGTGAAGTATATTAAAAGCCAGTGAGGGAATCTCAGTGAGGGAATAAAGTCTCCCAGTGAGGGAATAAAGTCTCTCAGTGAGGGAATATAGTCTCCCAGTGAGGGAATAAAGTCTCTCAGTGAGGGAATATAGTCTCCCAGTGAGAGAATAAAGTCTCTCGGTGAGGGAATAAAGTCTCTCAGTGAGGGAATAAAGTCTCTCAGTGAGGGAATAAAGTCTCTCAGTGAGGGAGAGACTCTCAGTGAAGGGTCAGTGAGGTAAAGAGTGAGGGAATAGTGAGGGTAAAGTGATAAGTCTCTCAGTGAGGGTAATAAAGTAGAGAAGAGTGAAGAAGCCTGAGGTAATCAAAGGGAGTGAAGGAGCAGTGAGATTAAAGTCTCTTGATAAGTAAGGAATAAGGGAGGAGATGAAGTGAGGTTCGACTGAACTCCACGGTTGAAGGGGAAGAGAGGAGGGGGAGGAGAAGCTAATAAAAGAATGGGCCTTGAAGTATTAAATTTGAGTGGATAGGGTGAGTGGGGGACAGTGGGGATTGAGGGGTGTGGGGAGGAGGGGGGGGTGGGGTGGGGGAGGGGGGAGGTGAAGAATGTTGGTAGCTTTGTTTAGAGGCGGTGGAGGAGGACAGTGGTTATTCTTGTAGGTGTTGGAGGAGGAGGGACAGTGGTTATTCTTGTAGGTGTTGGAGGGACAATGGTTATTCTTGTAGGTGTTGGAGGAGGAGGGACAGTGGTTACTTTTATAGGTGTTGGAGGAGGAGGGACAGTGGTTCTTCTGGGAGAGAGGGACAATAGAAGATACATTTTATGAGAAAGAAATCAATATTTTGGGATGGAAAAGTTATACAACCAAGTCATTATAAGAGTACGAGGGAGAATAACAGTACCTTGGGGAGGGCCACTACACAAAGCTTAGAGAACAACCACTACAACACAGTCACCCTTTACACATACAGACAACCAAAGAAAATGGTCCCAGACAAATAGACTATCAAGAGTAAGAAAATGGGATGTTTAACCTTGATGATGAGAGGCGCTTATCTCAGCAGCACACACACACACACGCACACGCACACGCACACACACACACACACACACACACACACACACACCTCATCTTGACTCTCACCCCCATCAACTTTCTCTTCTCTCTCTCAGCACTTTTAATATTATGTTCACAGTAAACTTTTATATAACAAATTAACAAACCTGGAAACAATACTACTACTACACTGTGTGACTGGTCGGTCCCTCACTACACGGCTGAGATCATAACACGGGAATAATAATAAGTACATCATCATCAATAAGGAACAAGGATATAAATCACACGACGACAGGGAAGGTTGGAATAACAACACGGGCAAGATGAAGTAGCTGTCACACCTGAAGCGGAACTGTACTACCCAGGCACCTGTGTGTGTGGCCACTACCCTATGCGCCCCACCACAGCCTCTTAATGATATAACCAATTACAGTTAAGTGCTCTGTGAGGTGTACGTGTGTGGTTCAAATATGAAGGAGTCATTGACGATCTGTAGGTAGCAGAAAAGAATATTGTATTACTAACAAGGTCGAGTGTGTGTGGGGAATGTTAAAAGGGCAAATTCCCCTTCATTAGTGCAGCACAACACACACTCATCATCACCACCACACACCAGCCAATAATTTGACCTGTGTTGTTAGTAAACATTTATTCGTTCTTAGTCATTCACCATAATACTTCAATGTAGTTATTGTTCTCCGCTGACCTCATCCACACAAGACTTACTCGTGTTTATATCCATCATATATTTATAACTATCAAGTGGTATTATTTTTATCGTTACACACTATCAAAATATAAATCCTATTTTATGACAAATAGAATTGCGTACAATGCTTAACAGTATAGTACCTCACACTGGGTAGTTTGGGCGTGAAGTATAATATGATAGAGCAAACCACTATGTCCTCATCATAGTTAGAGGGAATAAACTCGAAATAAGGGTCAAATCATCCACGTTGTTAAGACACCGTGAAATATTAATAAACATTACTTTATGATGTGCTTATTAACGCCTAGTCAAGCTACATGCACCTCGG